TTCCCTGATTTCTACACAGTGCATATTATAAACTAACCCTGTTGCCTAGACTGTTCTACCCTGATGACCAGTCTGGTGAATACCCTAAGTGTCATCATAGAGCCTTTATCCAGTGACTGATGGAGGTGGATGCAGGGATCTGCAGCTGGGCCCCAGACTAGGCTCCGGGAATCCAGTCAATGGAAGGGGGCAGGGGGAGGGGACGTTGAGATCATGAGGGGAAGACATGCAGAGATGACCGGCCCCACTAATGGAGACCCATGAACTGTGAACTGGTGCCTGTGGAGCCCCCATGGGACTGGACTAGGCCCTCTGGATACAGGAGACAGCTGTTTAACCCGAACTGTTGGGGGCCACCCAGGCAGGGGGATTAGGATCCCTCCCTGGTGCATGGGCAGGCTTTGGGGAGCCCAGTGCCTGTGGTGTGATGCCCCGCTCAGCCTTGGTGCAGTGGGAAGGGGCTTGGACCTGTCTAGGCTCAGTGTGCCGAGCTCTGCTGACTCCCCATGGGAGACCTTGATTTGGGGGAAGTGGGAATGTGGGGTGGCTTGGGAGGGAGGGCTGGGGAGTGGAAGGAGGGAGGCAGTGGGATCTGTGGGTGGTATGTAGAGTGAGTAGAATCTTATTTTTAAAAAGTGGAAAAAAAAAAAAAAGTAACCCTGCAGGCTCCTTCCTAAGTGTTGAGCATTCAGTCCTACAAAGAGGAGCCTATGAACTTTGCAACCACAAGGAAAACCAGGGCTGCTTTTCACAGAACAAAAAGCCAAGAAGGACAAGCATTCCTCGGATAGCCTGGCAGAGCTGTAGCTAATGTGGTGAGTTTCCAGGAACCATGGGAGCTTTGAAGTGTCTGACTCAAGAGATACCGAAATACTTTTCAGTCCACTTTATCATCCTGAGCCAGAATGGGTGAGGCTGCCCAGACGGGTTGGAGGTGGGGCCAGGGAAGAGAAGAGTGGGTATTGTGGTTTTTATCTAAAGCGTTCTTCACACACTCAGGTCTTGAACGCTCATTCCTCAGCCAATGGTAATATGTTCTGTGTCTGTGGAATCTTTGAGAGGTGGGGCCTAGCTGGAAGACACACATTGCTGGGGATAGCCCTTGAAAGCAATAGTCAGTCCCTTGTTCTCCCATGATGTCTGCTTCCTGGCCTGCTGCCCTGTGGACAACCTCTCCCACGTTCCCTGGTCTCCATGGCTTCCCTGCCATGATGAACTGAAACTCTCTGAAGCTATGAACCCAAATAAACCTGCCCTCCTTTACGTTGTCAGGTATTGTGGCCCCAGGGGATGAAATTAACCAACACAGATGGCTGGTGCCAGAGAATTAGGGTCACTGCTAGGACTAATCCTGACCATGTGTCTTTGAAACTGATGTGTGGGACAAATTTGGAAAAATTTGGAGACGTGGGCTGAAGAAGCCATGGCATGATTTAAGTAGAATTTGATAGCCATTCCAGTGGGAGCTCAGAAAACCAAAATGCTGATACAAAATGGAGACAGTAAAGGCTATATTTATAAATTTTCAGACAAAAATCTCTAAAGATTGAGATAAAACTAGAGGCTAGTCATGTTATAGTCTGGAAAAGAATTGGCCAATCTTTTGCTGATGTCGTGACAATTTGAGTGAGGCTGAATTCAACTAGGAGGAGGAAATTTCAAGACAGCATAGTACTTAGGATGTGGAGTGGCCATTGATAATGGTTCAAGCTCCAAATACAGCGAGTTCCAGAGTGGCCATATGGGCTACAAACATCAAAGCCATGGGGACTGGGCTACCACACCCACTGGAGCTCCTATCATGATGCCATAGACCCCAGGGCTGGACATGAAGTTATAGAAGGTTCTATTTACCCTGATGGGCGTGGGTTTGCATTGTTCCCAAGCCTTGTTTCTATGTCCCTGTTTCTCCCTTTTTGCATGGGACTGTTTCCTCTGTGCCCTTGTAGTTTAGAAGCATGTCTTTGTCTGTTTTTATTTTATACAGAATCAGTCTCAGTAGAGAGCCAGGGCTTAGACCTTTGAACAATGTAGGAACAATTAAGACCATGGTGACTCTTGAAGATGGGCTGAATGTACTGTGCATTAAATGATGGCCATACACAGAGAGAATGGTACACTTCATATCTGAAAGACCCTTGTATTTTGAATGCCCCCTAGCTGGTATTATCATTTTCTTTTAGAGACTGTGAAACTTCAGTGAACTGTGGCTTAAAACCCTAAGTAGGCCAATGGGGGTCAGTCTTTGAAGATGATGTCTGGTCCTTGCTTCCTGTCATATACTGTGCTTTCTGATCCACTGTTACATGAACAGCCTTAACCCCATTTTCCAATTCCCATAATTGCTCTGCCATGCCTTCCAAGCCATCAAGGACTAAAATTGTGAGCCAGCATTAATGTTTCTACTCCTAAGATGTTTATGCCAGGCATAGTAGTAAGAGTAACAGAAGTGAAGAGTGCCTGAGATCTCCTCAGTTCTACCTAGAACTCACCAACATTGTCTTGTTTTCAAATTAGTGGTACCAGGGAAGAACAGGTATCCCCCCCCCTCTCTCTCTCGTACCTGAGTAATGACTAGAAATGGTTCCACAAGGCTCCCTTGGGTCATCTCCAACTTTACACTTACCCAAGCCTCCTCTGTTTTCCACATACCTAGTCTCTAAGCTGAAAATGTGCGAAATATAAACAGGCAAAACTGCTCTTCCCTTTGTTAAAGTTTGCATCATAGAGTCATAGGATTTTATCTGAGACTGTTTTTTTTTAATAAAAGGAATCGAATGTAATTGCTTTCAAATTTTGCTATCAAATTATTTAAAATGCTAACAAGTCATTTAAAATGTGAATATATGTCTTAGCAGGCTTTGTTGTTGGAAGTTTTTGGTTGGACATGTCTCTGCTGTTTGTCACAACACTTAAACACTAGGTGATATGAATCACTTCTTTGAATCTTGAGACCAAAGAGAAGCATGAAAGTCATGATTAAGCTAATTCTGTCTCTCCATAGAGGGTAGAAACAAATCCCAAATAGGTAACAGTTATTTACGCATGGTTATACAAATAAAATTGAAGATTGTTATTTCAACTTATGGTAAAGGATGAGATCAGAGAGAATTTTTAGGACATGGGGGGGGGGGTAGAATCAATAAGCCGACGACAAAGCAAAGTAGAGACCTCACAGAACAGATTAGAGTTACCCAGCAGTCATCCATGGCACTGTGGATGGCTGTGGGAGAAAGCTGAAATCCAATCTGGGAGATACCTGAGGGAAATCGGACACCTTGGATAGTAGCACAGAGATGAGACAGAAAGGTGAGCAGGGCCCCTGCACAGAATTCAGCAAGCACACTTCCTATGGAGAAGCTCTCTGCACTCTCTTCATAGTGGAAGCTTGTGGTGTTATGGCCACTTAGAATATCTTGTCGGAGCTTACCACGTCAAAGGACCTTGCATTTTCTTATTTCTGGGAATCCACATTTCTACACTGAGTCAGCATGTCTCTGCTTCGAGAACCAGTTTGGCCCTGAAGAAGAAAGAGTCTTTGGGGGAGCGGGGGTGATGAGAGTTCTTTGTAGTGTCGGGCTGGTGTGTGAGGCATCGGGTCCTCCTCTTAAGACAGGTGGCTTGGAAAGCCAGCTGCAAGATACCAGGGGGAAACACAGTTACATATAACATGAATGGAGCTGAGTCTTGGAACACCATAAAATGGGTGGTAGGTTGTGTGGAGCCTGCCTTTGCCCATCCCCAGCCTGGGTAGCTGCATCCTTGCAGAGACTCCAACCCTGACACACATTGCCTAGCTACAGAAGAATTCTAGAATCTTGACACAGTTATCGTAACTCCCTTACTCTTGCATTTATCTAATTATTCTTTATCAATAAAAAAAATTGAGAGTCAGATATAGGGGTAAGAACCTGAATGATCAGAGAAGTGGAGGTGAAGGGACCAGTGACTTCCTATCTCTTCTGTTCCTCCATCCAAAAGGGCTGAGATCCTCTCTAAGCCCTGTCCTACTGCTTCCTGTCTATCTGTCCTCAGTCCTCCAAAACCTCTCTGATTAATTTTGGTCAGCTAGTAGCTAGCTCCACCCTCTGGTTCAAAACAAACTTTATGGTCAGCATGCAATAAAAATATCACACAACAGTCTTGTAACTTTCATGCCTGCAAAACCAGTACTATTAGGTAACACTGTCTAGTTCTACTACCAGTCCAAGGTATAGACATGGCCCCTTTGGAATGGAGTTTCAGTGGCCATCACATGTCTGAAGAAACATTTCCTCAGGTGGTTCAGTTCAGTCTGTCTTATTTCAGATGAATTTTTATTTTTATTTTTACAACCTGGGGACTTTGATGGGTACAGTCTTACTTCCAGGACATCTTACTATTGTCCCAGGACAGAGGGTTAGGTTTCTCTTCGTTGATGCTAATAGCACAATGACAATAGCACAATGACAGATTAGAGCTGTTTTCATACCAACCCTGTCTGTATCTTTAAACTCAGTCTCCTTTCTGCACACTTTCCCCATGTATCTGCTGTTTGTTGTTCTTTCTTACTGGGTACCTGGATGAGAACAATGATCAGCAATTGTGAAACAGCCTGAATGCTACCCTATCCTGATGTTTCTTCCATTTCACAAATTAGCCCATTGTTTCCAAACTTGGCCTCACTCAAATTGTGCAGACACAGGTAGGGTGCAGCTGGATTCTTTACCAGACCACAAAGCAAATAGTTGCCAGTCCAGTTCTTGATAGAATCCTTGTTCCAGTCTGAAATATCATGCCAGGCTTCCACTGTCTGCATCGCTCTTGGCATTCTGGTCTTCCAATCCCCAAAAGAATGGCCCATTAAGTTCTGTTTATTGTATTCTAGCACTCTCCAAATTCTTAAAGATTCCTATGGCAAACCAGTTCCAAAGGCCCCTGAACTACATGGTCAGGTTTATCTCAGCAACTATTCCCTACCTAGTACCAGTTTTCTGAATTAGTTTCTTTTCTCATTACAGTGAGAAGATGCAGGACAAGAGTGACTTAAAGAAGAGATTCTTTGCCTTGTAGTTCACCACGGTATGGATGTCAAGGCCGTAGGATCATGAAGCAGTTGGTTATGAACATAATAAAAATATGAAAAAAACTCCATTAATATAAAATGTCACCCATTAATGTGGATTCGTTAGAAGAAAGGGGATGGAGAAAGGCGAACACCTAACATCCCAAAATATTTCTCTTCCCCACAAGGTTTAACATCCCATTCCTGTTGCATGCAGCCAGCATGTCAGCCCTTGCCAAGGAAGTTCACAGGTCAGTCACCTACATTCATCATCCTTCTCCTGAGCCAATCCTGCATCATCTTCCAATCATAGGATGGCCCTGGTGGCTTTGAGTCTGTCTTTTTTGTTTTTGTTTATATTTTGTTTTTTTTTTCCCCCAGTGTTTGGGTCAAACCATGCTGGAATCAAACCAGACACATACTCACCTAAAGAAGAGACAGCCATGTTGTTTTCTCATCAAATTGTAGTGGGTAGCCATTCCAGCTTTGATCTGGAAGTTCCAACCCCCATTGAGGCTTCAGTAACTGTCACACCTACAAGACAGGGCCAAGAGAGGACCCTGAAGACCCCAGATCCTGATGTGCGAGTCTCTTGGTTCCTGGACCCTTGATGCCTGAGGTAGATCAAGGAGAGTTCTCCAGAGAACACCGCTGGACTTTGCCACACCTTTTCCAGACCCTGTAAACTATCCCTTCATTTGTGAGTTACCCCACAAAATAAACCTCCCTTTTAACTACATGGAATGGTCTTAATAATTTCAACGATATCTGGCGCCCAACGTGTGGTGCCATTTGTAGCTGCAGGGCTTCTGTCCAGGTCCCACCAAGCCCCCGCAGTCCCACAACCCATGTATAAAATAATCACTCAGATGCTTATATTACTTATAAACTGTATGGCCATGGCAGGCTTCTTGTTATCTACTTCTTCTATCTTAAATTAACCCATTTCTATTAATCTATAAGTTGCCACATGGTTCATGGCTTACCAGTACCTTACATCTCGCTTGTCATGGCAGCAGCTGGCAGGTCTCTCTCCCTGCCTTCCTGTTCCCTCAATTCTCCTCTCTTTAGTCCCACCTATACTTCCTACCTGGCTACTGGTCAATCAGTGTTTTATTTATTAACCAATCAGAGCAACACATTTGCCATACAGAACATTCCACAGCATCAAATACTCCTCGTTAGTTCCCCAGCAGAGAAGGAATGGTAGGAGTCCAGGGAAACTGATCTCAAAAAGGATTGTTCATACCACGGATTAGCACAGAAGGGTGGTTTTGAGGGATTGTTTTATTTTTTTGTTGCTGTAATTGTTAGTTTGGGTAATAATGATGTAGTGGTGGTAGTAGAGGTGTGTGTGTGTGTGTGTGTGTGTGTGTGTGTGTGTGTGTGTGTGTGTGTAAAATAGATGATGAAAACTTCATGTGAGAATGTCTATCTTATTGTAGTAAGTATTTACTAGGGTAAGTGCTAATAATACAGGCACTACAATCTCATTAGTGAGATCATAATTTCCCTTCTCCTGGGATATGATCATATTGCTTTTTGGTGGATGATATTCACATTTTCCACTAGCATGTACACTTAGGTGGACCACAGAGGCATTCGCCAAATGAAAGCACATGTGTGGTCACTACAGTTACTGTAGAGACACATTGCTGATGCTATGATTGTGTCTCCATAAAATGGTTAAAGCTCTAAATACTAGTAAACTCTATTCCCTAGTCATCCTCTTTTCTATGAATATTTAAGGATTTGTATATGTATCCATTATAATGTGATGTAACAATCCCTCATATTTCACTGACCATGTGATAGGGGTGAGTTATACTTTCCTAAGAACACATTAAAGTTATATATAGTCAGCGATCTTTCATTCAATCACAAGACTGTTCATTTTTAAAACTGTAATTTCATATAATTTTACTAGGATGTAATAAATATATTTCAGAATGTAGGGACTGATTTCAGAAAAAAAAAATAGAAGCCTACCTGAAAGTCTACAGAATTAATCTTAAATATGCAACATTCTAAATAGGATTGCTTGTTATTTATCAAATTTTATACTTTGTTCATTTTCTTTTCACTTTATAACAGAGAAGAGTTCACGAGTACTAAATTCATTTTGTTTGTTTTGCTGTCTTGGGAGACAAAAGTCAGGGCCTCATGCATACTGAGTGATTACACTACCTGAGCTATATCCCCAGGAGTAATTGTGTTTGAGGGGGTACAGTCCATCACGGCAGGAAAGCCATGGCTGCCACAGTAGCCATGCCCACAGAAGTGGGCATTTACTGTCCAGCTTGCTACATATCAGCAGATCAAAAAGCAGAGAGCTTAGGCAATGATATTGGTGATACTATTTTAGATAAGATTTCAAAACACTGCCAACAAAATCAAAACTAGATAACAAGATCCTATGAAATCCAATGGCTTCTTCCCCATGGAAAAGGAGACAGGTAGTATAGTACAGAGACAGCTGAAGAATCACAGAAAAAGTTTGCAGACTATTTGAAAGGGATTAATACTCGGAATATGAAAAAAATCTCAAAAGCAAAAGCTGAAAAATCAGATTTTAAAATAGATAGGTGGTATGAATATACATCCCTTTAAAAGATATTTACAAGCAGCATGGATATAAAGTGATCAACATGATTAGTCTCTAAAGAATGTACATCAAAGCCATAACAAGATAGTATCTGACTCCATTTATAATATTTATAGTAAGTGTTGGCAAAGAACCAGAGAAAGGGAAAATCATGTTCTGTTGGGAAGAATAAAAATAAATATACACAGTTGGAAATCACTACATAGTGATCTCAAAACACTAACTAGAGGCCAGTGAGAGAGACACCGATCCCTCAAGCCTGGTAACTTGAGTTCCATTCCAGGAACCCATGAAAAAGTAGTAGGAGAAAATCAACTCCAAAAACTGTCTTCTGATTTCCACTTGCATGCCATGGGATGTGCATATCCACAGACACACATGTCATCCAAAACAAAATATATATAAATAAATTTATTTACTTAGAAAGAGAAAATGAAAATAGAATCACTCTGTCATCCAGCTTCCTTACTACTGGTATTATTATCACATCATATTTTGTTATATTAATTATATTAATTGCAGCACTATTCAATTTAACAAAGATATGGCATCAACTAACGTTCATCTAAAAATGAACAGATACAGAAAGTTTGGGTAAATATATAGAGTGGAGCATCATTCCATCTTGAAATTTTCAATCTTGACATTTGTGGAAATAAGATGAAACTGGAGCACATCGTGTTAAGCAGAATCAGGCAGGTGTCAAGAAACACTGAATTCTCACTCTTGTACTGAGACTAAAAATGTTGAGTCCATAGAGAGGAGAGATGGAATGCTGACTACTAGAAGCTGGAAAGGCAAGGAATAACCATCACACTTTATTGTAGCAAAAGATGATGATAAAAGCTCTAAAACTATGGAAAGCAAAAAAAAAAATCACTGAAGCTCTTTCAAAATGGTTAAATAGTAATATAAAGTATTCCTTAGTATGATGGCTATTCTTGGTTGTCAACTTTGCTGTGTCTGGAATGAACTAAAATCTAGAAATGGAGGGCACACCTGTGATTCAGATAATGAGGCGGGATGATACACACCTTTAATCTGGATCTTGAGGCAGGAAGACACACCTTTAACTTTGGCCACTGTGGGAGCCCACAACTGACTCAGTTTCCCATTTTGAATCTGAAGTCTATTCTGAGCCAGTAGAGTTCCCGCTTGCTTGCTCCAGGGCTGTGAGAAAGTGCTGATTAGCCCACAGGAAGGACCGTACTATCTAGCTAGATGAAGGCTGCTGACACCACTAGCTGGGGTTACATCGAGATAAAAAAATGAAACTGCCTGCTCCTTGACACAAGGACAGGATAGATAGTGGTTGAATGCCTGTGCTGTGCATTGTTCTACCTCTGTCCTTCAAGACTGTATATAAGTTGGCTGTGAAATAAACTCAGGACTGTGCAGCATTGACTGGCAGTCCTCTTGATTCTGTTATGTCTTCTTCCTTGTCTCTATAATCGAAATGCTTCCACCTAGGTACCCAGTTGACTCATGGGCAGGCTCCGACAGGCCACACCTTTTGCTGGAAACCTACATAACAACAATGGAAGAAGGAAGGTGTCCTTCTTTGGCTGCTTGCCCACACATTGGAGCCTGTTACTTTGGGATTCCAGCATATATAGAAGACCAGCTGAGACTCAGCCTTGTGGGACTCAGCAACTACTAGATTCTTGGAGTTTCCATTCACAGCTAACCATTGCTGGAATGCAGCCTGTAAGTCATTCCAATAAATTCCTCTTTTATACACAGTGAGACAGAGAGATATTCATTCCACAAGTTCTGTGGCTCTAGAGAAACTTGGCTAATATGCTTAGTAATGACTAGCCATAGGATAGAGCTAGTATTCATACATATGAGTATGTATATATACAAAGTATATATGAATATAAATACATTCAGTTTTATGTTTTGTAACAGAAGGAATGGTAGAATCATGATATGTTTAAATGGAAGTATCCTTCTAGGATGTTAAGGATCCTACAGAGATATCCAACTGCTCATAAAAATCTTTCTATATAGCTACACTCTACAGCTTGTGGATTCATTCTCAGATAAACAGCAGCATATAGAGAGTGATAAACCAAATGTTTTAGCCCTAGCCCGTATCACTCACACAGTATTCTGAGCTTCTAAAAAATTTCATGAATTGGGGGAGGAGGAATCGGTTCATGTTTTCCTGAGCTGTGAGCAGAACCAGTGGACAAGTTTTACAGCTTCTATGTTCTTTCCTTGTGGCCTGCTCTGAGTCCATTATCACCAAGTGTCTTAGCATTTCTGCTTCCTAAGGACTCTGTCATGGAGGTCCTGACAGTTTAGACACGTCAGGGCAACACAGTGACCCCTGTAGAATGCCTCCTTTTCCCTCCTACTCAAAGATCACCAGCAGCATGGTTTCTACCTTACAGAACTTCATTAGAAGCTTTTTGGGAATGGTCTTAAAATCTTTCTTCTCCAGGAGTATCCCTTGATAGGCAGCATCTGGCAGCAGCTTAGAGATGCAGTTTCTCAGGCTCCACCAATCACAGTTTTGTATTTGAACTGGAGCCCCAGGTGATTCCCATGCAAACTATGGCTTGTGAGGCACTGTCTTTCTAAGATGGAGGCATAAATTCAATGGGGACACCGGCAGTGTTGCATCAGAAACCAAAAGAGACAAGTGAAGTGACATTTCCATAGTCATCTCTTCCTTAAGGTGACTTTTTATGTGAAACTCTGCCCATCTTTGAAAGCTTAGCTCCTTCACTTACCATGCCTCCTCCCTCAGAAGGCTGCTCACCCCTCACCACCTCACAGAGACAGACTTTTGAACACATGCTGGTTCCATTTGTATTCACGCAAACGTGATTTCGGCCCAAGTAGAGATCCACCAGACACATGCAACATTTTTACCCTTTACTTACATAGAAAATATTCTGTAATTATTTGGCACTGATTCAACACACTACCTAAAAAAACAACAAACAAAACAAAACAAAAAAAGCACTTCATTATGGACCATCGAAATAGTGAAATAAGTACAACAGCCCCTGCCCTCAGAAGATAATGCAGAAGAAGATGGCCGGCCACACAGAAACTTCAGAGAGATGGAGTGAGAAGGAATCCAACAGAGAAATTGGGAAACTATTGCCTCATCCGGTAGCTACAGCTGTGCATTCCTGTTTCCCAGAAGAGTGCCTTACGTCTGTTTCCATTTCTCTGTCTGCCTGCCATTATCAAGACAAATTTCAAACATATATTTATCAGGGAATCTGCCCTGCTCTCCCTAGCTGACATAATTTTGATTTTTCAGAACTCTGCCTTCTCCCAGGTTAAGCTCAGCTGCATCTTGCTGAGGCTTTATGCAGAAGTTTCGGGGCTGTCGGGTAGCATCATTGCGGAGCCAGCATGCTGTACCATCATCGTTTTTTTTTTTTTTAAGGGAGAGGAATGAGTAAAGGCAGTAAATCCCTTTTGACAATACATCACTCTCTCAGTGTGTAACTGTCTTCTCTGATCATATTTAGAAAGATGAGCAAGAACACTGAACATGGAGATAATTAGAGTAACTCCTCCCTCTACACCTCCCCTTGGCATCCTTAGAACGGATTCATTCTTTCACTCAGAAACACTGTATTGGTAGGTTAGTCACAGCTGGAAGAAAATTCACCTGGTCATTAGGCATGGGCTGACCTATCAGATTTAAGAAGCCCTCTACAGCAGTGGGAGGCTCATTGCATCGTTGAATTTCCCTAATACTGAAATGTATTCCCTCAACCCCTTTCCTGAGAGGTGCATAAATGCTTTGAACCGAACTGTGGCTTTCCACCTGCATGTCTCCCGTGTGTACATAGAAATGGTTAGTATGGACTCTTAAGCAGCTATGTGTGTGTGTGGGGGGGGGGGAATTCTGCTCTATTCTGGGTGACGAGGGATTTGTTATCCCTTAGAAATATTTGTAGTTAGATTTGCAATCTGATACTAGGTGACATGGCCACTCAGTGGTCAGGATCTTGATGTTCCGCAGTTTATTGATTTAGAACTGTAATTGGAAATCATGAGCTATATGGTAAGGAGAAATAGAACCTTGATTCTCAGTTGGTGCCCCCCAATTTAAATGGGCACCCAACCATGGTGGAAGGCAGACTACATAGGTTTACACCAATGTGTGACTTTTGTTTTTAATGTAGACATGTTGGGATTAATAAAACTTTCATTGCACCTCAGTCACAGCTTTAACAATTAATGAAAGGGCCAGAAACAAGACGAAGCTCCTCCCATCCCCAGCATCCTCATAGTCTCACCTCTATCCTAGGCCTACCGCTTCACTGTTGGCAAGACAATGCCTCCTTTTGCCCAGTTCTTTGAAAAACAGGCTGACAACAAGAGGGAAGTTGCAGATCAACTCCTAAGACAGCTATGGAAACGTAAGATCCCTGTGAATAGGATCTGCCCTCCAATTCACAAGGTAACGATAATTTTGCTGCAATCATCTCTGCAGGGCCTGATCTAGGCCTAGGAAATAACTGGCTGCTCTCTCATTTATGAGTTTGTGTTCTTACATGGTCTTCTTTGTGACTGAGCTCACGGGTAAGCAGGTGTCAACAATACCTTTGGGGTAAAACGTAGTTATTGAATGTTTGTTTAGCTTTTCTCAATGAACTACACAAAGGTAGTCTCTACATCAGCAGCATCAGCTCCACCTGAGGATCCTAAGAAATGCAATTCATGGACCCCAACCCAGGTCCAAGGTATCTGTAAATGGGACCTCAGAGTTGTATCTTAACAAGTTCCTCATTCTGTCCTAACTTGATCTGAATGTTATATAGACTGAGAAGCAGTACTCTCACGACCTCTTCACAAGCCCATTAACATCCTCTTTCATAGCACTAATTCATACACAGGTTCAGGTATTTACTATCTGTCTTTCTAGTGTCTTACTCCACTTCATTTCTCAGGGAAGACATTCAAAAGAAATGGTCTGAAACTCAGGGACATTACATCCCTGATTAGCTAAAATGTTGCTGTTGCTTTTTAACTGAACCTTTATAAAAAGAAATATTTGCTAATAAAAAAAAAAAACCAGAACTGTCACCATAGAATTCCAAACCTAATGGAATTATAAAATATATACCTGGCCGGGCAGTGGTAGCGCACGCCTTTAATCCCAGCACTCGGGAGGCAGAGGCAGGC